GTGGCCAAACAGCTCCAAGTTGCCTTGAGGAGGACACACACGACGCTAAAGCGCTGAGCACAAGAGCGCGATCCGTGTGCAGGGCCGTCCCGGCCGCGGCTGAAGGTACCTATGTCCTACCTCAGACCATTCTAGCCATGCTCGTTGCACTGCCGATAACGACCGCTCGAGACGACGCGCAATTTCACAGAACGATACACCCTCAATGTGCATACTGACCTCACCGCCGATGATGTAGATGGTGGGTTTCACTTTCGAATAATTTGCTATTGCTGGAGGTGGCGCTTGACGCTGAGAACCAACTTTTAAACCATGCACTAATCTTTTATGTCTTTGAAAAACTAATCTTTTATCGCATAAAGAACACACGTTCCTAACGTTATTAGTATGCGAATGTCGCGTGTGCCGATCGAGACTCCTTTTGGCGCTGAATGACTTTTGACACTTATCACACGCGAACATATTTAAAGAGATTTGAAATTGAGATACCACAGATGAATGTGAAGTAAAAAGTTTCTAGAAATAATATGTATTAATATTACATAAAACTGCAAACTAAGCAGTTTTTATTAAATCGTCGAGATTTAGTAAAGGTCAATGCACCACGTCAGTGGAAGTGTTATGTGCTGAGCAATAGAATTATTAAATTAATAAGTAAAAAAAAAGAAAGAATTTTTAACGATGAATAATGTTTATTATTTAAAATTCGGTGCGACAATGTTTCGATTGCCTAGCAATCTTCGACGGGCACGACGTCAAAATGATGAAAAATGCAATATAACATTATAACAAAAGACAAATGGCGACAGCGAAACACAGAATCGGAAGAAAACAGGTACTCACACCGCTCATAAATTTTGGCAGACATAGAATTATTGGTGTAAATGAAATACGGATAAATAGAAATTTAAAACGCTAATTAATTATAAGGATGTAATAAATTAAAAGTTTTTAACTAAAAAATAGGATTTATTTAAACCTAAACGATATTGTCTTTCGGTATCCAACTGTTATGGGATGAATCGAATCCTAACCACTTAACGAACACTTGATTCTTTCTTCTCTTTAACACTTTTTCAACAAGATAAACATCAGGTTGTTTGGATCTTTGAAGTTCGAATTCATAAAAAGCTCCTTTAATAGGTTGTCCATTCATATCTTCTAATAAATAAGAAATTGGATTCGTAATTTGTGTTTTAATTATTTTAAATAACTCAGTGGTCCAGTTGGGTAAATATCCCTTATCGAAGACATGCTTATGCTTGCTAATGCGAACTACATCTCCAACATTAAAGTTTCCCTTACCGGCAATTTTAATATGATTGTACACCGTATTGAGAAGTTTATTTTCTACAGATTTCGAATTTATTTGAGATGGTTTCATTTTCGTGGTTGAATGCTTTGAATTGTTATATTGAGTNTAACAAGTTACATCGCAAATTCGCCGTGTCTACGGTCATCAATCCGTGCATCTCCAACTCAAGTTCGAAACGCTGCAGATAGTAGTCCCATTTTTCTGTTTCCGGCTCAAACTTATCAAACCGAAATTGTTTATAAGCTTCACTTGAACCGCCCGCACTCGAATCAGTCATGTTCACCGCGTAGTTTCACTTTCTCGTCGCCAAAATGTAGTACTATTTATACTAAACAATCTTATAACTTAACAATATTTATTTAACTCATTTACAAATAAGAATAAACTCTTAACTGAACTAAACATGTCTCTGTATGTTCGTATTGTTTCACTCGCGCGCGTGTGTGAGTGTGCATGTGTCGTATGTGTGTGTGTATCGCGTGTGCGCCTCTCACCATGCAAGGACGCACTGGTCGTAACACGCTCGCACGGCTCGGCACAACCACCAGACCCGATCACACCAGGAGTGGGGGACAAACCACTATACTACATTCCTCCCCAACAAAACACTTTTAAAGTCTATACCGTTCCGGTAATCTTCGGTTTCTCGCTGGGTTTCGTCTCGGTGTAACGGGGGCTGATCCCTCAGCAGGCTGATCACTCCTGATAATCTCCGAACCCCGCTCAAACGCGTTCAGTAATCCCGGTAGTTCATGCGTCTTTTCGATGTCCTGATTCATATCCACCAAATCATCCGACAGAAGACCCTCAGTCACATGCGGTAAGTTCATGATCGGTTTTTCGATCTCCGCAGGGCAATCGACCTCCATTCGTCTCCGTAACTGCTCACAATGCTTCCTTCGTGTAACGCCGTCCATGTTAACAACATACGACAACGGTCCCGTCTGCTCCTCAACCACGCCCGGTTTACAACCCTTATCTAGAGGATTATTAACCCATACTGCCTCCCCTTTTTCGAAATTTTGGCCAATAGCTCCCCGGTCGTGATTTCGCTTTTGTGTCATCTGCTCCATCTCCATATTTTTAGTAATATCAGGCTTCAATAGGTCAAAACGGGAACGCAAATGACGTCCAAACATCAATTGACTCGGCGTTCTTTTCGTTGAACGTCTTTCTGTATTTCTATATGAAAAGAGGAAACTCTGCAGTCTCACATTTTGGGTTAATGTCTGACTACTGGCCCGCATACGCTCCTTAAATGTACGAACCGCTCGCTCCGCCAACCCATTAGATTTCGGATGGTACGGGGTAACCCTCACATGCGTTATTCCATTCATATTACAAAACTCCTCAAACTCACTCGAAACAAGCTGAGGACCGTTATCAGTCACCAAAAACTTCGGCAAACCAAAACGAGCGAAAATCGAGCGCAACACCTCTATAGTCTTAATGGACGTCACCGTCTTCATTGGAACTATCTCCAGCCAACGAGAATAGGAGTCCACAAGTACCAACCACATTTTACCCTCGAAAGGTCCCGCAAAATCTAAATGGAGTCGAGACCAAGGCTCGGATGACACACCCCAAGGGGGAAGTGAAGAACTGTGACCGTTTTTCCTCGATTCTTGACAGGAAAGGCATTTATCTACTTCGTAGTTAATATCAACATCAAGTTTAGGCCAATAGACATGGAGCCTTGCCAGAGATAACATTGCAGATGTTCCAGGATGACCATCATGTAACATGCCCAGAACTCTCTCACGCAATAAGGTTGGAACGCACACACGACCATTCCAGAGCAACACTCCCTCTTCGAACGAGAGCTCATCCCGCTTTTCGTAGAAAGGAAGCAAATCTAAAGGCACATCCTTTTTGTTAGGCCAATATGACCGCAAACATCTAATAACATTTGACATCACAGCATCACGTTCAGTCTCTTTCTTTAACTCTTGTCTTCTTACAGGTAATTTCCCCACTCGCAAATGCAATAACCGCGAGTGAAGTGGCACGTTACACGAGTCCACAGATACAGGCAAAGGAAGTCGGGACAACGAATCTGCAGGACCATTTTCTTTCCCTGGTCGATAGATGATCTCAAAATCATAACTATTTAGTGTCATGGCCCAACGCAACAACCGGTTACTTGCAATTTTCGGAGTCTGGCGATCCTCACCAAAAATTCGCTCCAAAGGTTTATGATCTGTAATCAGGGTAAATCGCCTGCCGTATAGATACTGGTGAAATTTAGTCACGGCATAAACCAAACCCAACGCTTCCTTATCAATAGTTGAGTATCGGCTTTCTACATCACTGAACGAACGCGAAGCAAACGCCACGGGCTTCAGAGTGCCATCAGGAAATCCATGAGATAGAACCGCCCCTGCACCAACTCCACTGGCATCGCTGGAAACTACCAACGGTTTGTCCGGATCGTAATGGACTAAGGTTTCGCTCGATGTCAAGCTTCGTTTCAACTCATGGAATACATGTGTGTCCTCTTCTGTCCATTCCCATTTTGCATTCTTCTTTAATAAACGATGCAACGGAACACATTTCACATGAAGGTTCTCAATAAATCTACCATAGTAGGTTATAGCTCCCAAAAAGGAACGTAATTGTGTTGTATTTTGAGGAATTGGCATGTTTCTTATTGCTTCCACATGATTTTCAGTGGGGTGCAAGCCTTTATCATCAATTCTGTGGCCTAAGTATGTGACACCATTCATCAACCAGTCACATTTTGACCTTTGTGTTCTGATACCAGCAGCCTGCAGTCGACGCAAAACTTCTCTCAATCTTCGCAAATGTAACATCATATTCGGGGCAGTTATGAGAATGTCGTCCAAATAGCAAACAACGCCATCAATCCCAGAAAGAATCTGGTCCATGGTTCGTTGAAAAAGGGCCGGCGCAAAACTGATGCCAAACGGCAACCGCTTGTAAGCAAAATATCCCTTATGTGTGGCCACGACCAAATATTTTCGTGACTCCGGATGAACCTCCATCTGAAGATATGCATCCTTTAAATCAATCTTAGAAAAGTATTTACCACCTGACAATTTGGCTGTAATATCCTCAAAACGAGGTAAGGGGTAATCATCCATTTGTACGAAACGATTTATGGTTACTTTAAAATCTGCACACAGTCTCACCTTGCCATTCGACTTCATAACGACAACAATCGGGGATGCCCATGAAATAGATTGGTTTGTGGTATCCACCGGCTCGAGGACCCCCTCCTTCACCAATCTCTGCAGCTCTGCTGCAACTTGATCCTGCAATGCTAATGGCACATTCCTAGGACGAAATCTCTTGGGTGTAATGTTGTCCTGGATATGAATCTTGGCGTAGTGGCCCCTAATAGTACCTAAGGACTCTTCGAACACGTGACCAAACTCCTCCAGCAGCTTGTTAACAGTGTTGTTTTCCGACACTTCTTCCTCCCCCATCAGATTCTTTTCTCTCACGTCATCCGACTTTACATGTAGAATTTTAGCACCGGTTGGTAAGGGTACGTTAAAGGCCAAGCACCAATCCAACCCAAACAAGGGAATGTCGTTTTCTTTTGTCACATAAATTTGTAAATTAAGCGTTTTCTTGAAAGCGCTCACATCAACCGACGTCTTACCAAGAGTCCTGATTGGTTTGTCACCATAAGCTATAAGATCAGCACATTCTGTTAATTTTGGTTTCCCGATTTGTCTCCACACAGTTTTGCCCACAACCGCGTGTACGGAACCCGGGTCAAATAGCATGTCCAAATCTCTTCCGTTTATAACAGTTGATAGCATCACTCTACTAGAGCCCCCAACTTTACGAACGTTTCGGATGGCAACTTCATTGTCTGTGTCCGATTCACTAACCCCCTCAGCTTCTGATATATTATCATCTTCATCTTGTTCTTCTCGCACGCAACGTGTAGAACGTTTCTGTTTGTTTTGATTTGTCATATTGGCTGTTTGTTTAATAATCGCGTTTCCAGATATAACACAAACACGATAAAAATGATTGTTTTCGCCGCATCCACTGCACGTTTTCCCGAACGCTGGACAACTCTTTCTTCGATGTCTGGAGCCGCCACAAAATAAACAATCCTCGTTTGCGTATAATTCGCGCACAACAGTTTTTTGTTCATTAGAGCTAAAGTTTTGATTATCGGCCTTTGGAAATTTGAACGTCTTATTTACTTTCGGCACCGCACTGTGTCTAGACACTCGATTTACATGAGCATCTGGTTGTAGAAACGTTAATTGTCCCGCCTGGATGGACGCCTGTTCTAAAATAACGGCCGTCGCCTCGACGTCTTCGAGCGTTGTATCGATCGACGGATGTTTTTGAATTATTTTTTCTTGCCAACCGCGATTGTTAATCCCGAAAATCAATTGATCACGCATTCTTCCATCCAAACCATCACCAAAACCACAATCTCCCGCCGACGCACGTAAACGATTTACATAGTCAGTTATCGCTTCATTTTCTTTACGAAAAGAACCCGCGAAATTTACTCTTTCAGCGAACACATATACCTTTTTCCCATAGAAACGATTTAGCACGTCAATTAGTTCTTTATAGGATTTAGCTGTCAACTTTATCGGTTTAAAATGGTCCGCTAAAATCTTAAACACGTATGGTCCCACTTTTGATAATAACAAGTTACGTAGCAAATTCGCCGTGTCTACGGTCATCAATCCGTGCATCTCCAACTCAAGTTCGAAACGCTGCAGATAGTAGTCCCATTTTTCTGTTTCCGGCTCAAACTTATCAAACCGAAATTGTTTATAAGCTTCACTTGAACCGCCCGCACTCGAATCAGTCATGTTCACCGCGTAGTTTCACTTTCTCGTCGCCAAAATGTAGTACTATTTATACTAAACAATCTTATAACTTAACAATATTTATTTAACTCATTTACAAATAAGAATAAACTCTTAACTGAACTAAACATGTCTCTGTATGTTCGTATTGTTTCACTCGCGCGCGTGTGTGAGTGTGCATGTGTCGTATGTGTGTGTGTATCGCGTGTGCGCCTCTCACCATGCAAGGACGCACTGGTCGTAACACGCTCGCACGGCTCGGCACAACCACCAGACCCGATCACACCAGGAGTGGGGGACAAACCACTATACTACATTCCTCCCCAACAAAACACTTTTAAAGTCTATACCGTTCCGGTAATCTTCGGTTTCTCGCTGGGTTTCGTCTCGGTGTAACGGGGGCTGATCCCTCAGCAGGCTGATCACTCCTGATAATCTCCGAACCCCGCTCNTACATAGTCAGTTATCGCTTCATTTTCTTTACGAAAAGAACCCGCGAAATTTACTCTTTCAGCGAACACATATACCTTTTTCCCATAGAAACGATTTAGCACGTCAATTAGTTCTTTATAGGATTTAGCTGTCAACTTTATCGGTTTAAAATGGTCCGCTAAAATCTTAAACACGTATGGTCCCACTTTTGATAATAACAAGTTACGTAGCAAATTCGCCGTGTCTACGGTCATCAATCCGTGCATCTCCAACTCAAGTTCGAAACGCTGCAGATAGTAGTCCCATTTTTCTGTTTCCGGCTCAAACTTATCAAACCGAAATTGTTTATAAGCTTCACTTGAACCGCCCGCACTCGAATCAGTCATGTTCACCGCGTAGTTTCACTTTCTCGTCGCCAAAATGTAGTACTATTTATACTAAACAACCTTATAACTTAACAATATTTATTTAACTCATTTACAAATAAGAATAAACTCTTAACTGAACTAAACATGTCTCTGTATGTTCGTATTGTATCACTCGCGCGCGTGTGTGAGTGTGCATGTGTCGTATGTGTGTGTGTCTCGCGTGTGCACCTCTCACCAGGCTAGGATGCACTGGTCGTAACACGCTCGCACGGCTCGGCACAACCACCACACCCGATCACACCAGGAGTGGGGGACAAACCACTATACTATAGTTTACGCCCCTGGATATCATAATCTCCATCTACGGTTAAAGGGAATCCAATATGGCGTTGAGAAGTAGTTAAATTCTCATCATTCAATACTTTATTCCGCGCAGAACGTAATGTACGACCAAACTTATCAATGCTCACACCACTCACGCTTGATCCNAACTGAACTAAACATGTCTCTGTATGTTCGTATTGTTTCACTCGCGCGCGTGTGTGAGTGTGCATGTGTCGTATGTGTGTGTGTATCGCGTGTGCGCCTCTCACCATGCTAGGACGCACTGGTCGTAACACGCTCGCACGGCTCGGCACAACCACCAGACCCGATCACACCAGGAGTGGGGGACAAACCACTATACTACAGTTGGAACCGTTGATATTCGCATATATATGCTACTTCGCTCTACTGTTTAATCTTACATGATAGAGTTTTCAAATATGTTCCTTTAACTGGTATGATTAATCAAATATAGATCAGTTTGTAA